CGGCTCCGAAACCAAGATACGAGCCCGATAACATCAAGAAAATGCATCAATTCACTTCTAAAAATCTTTATATTTTCCAGAAAATAATTTTCTTTAAAAATTCATTTCTCGGGTTTGGGACCTCGGAATTCGATTCCGGGCATACGCCCAAGTCCCAAATTTTACTACAGACCCTACGAAACCGTCAGATCACGGGTCCGGGTCCATTTACAAAGAATGTTGATCAAAGTCAACTTTATTTAATTTTAAAAGTCAATTTCCTTATTTTACTTAGTTTTCACATAAGAGCTTTTCAGAAATGCGTCCGGACTGCGCACACAAATCGAGGTGAGATAAAACAGGTTTTCAAGGCCTCGAAACATAGAATTTACTGGAAACACAAGTGAGGTCATCACACCGGTAGGATATTTTTAGGAATCATGACTCACCCTCCTATAGCTGTCACGAATCGAAGTTTCAAAATCCAAAAGAGAGATTTTCCGACAAGAAAAAGGTTGGTTGAGACACGGGACTTTCGGTACTTTCTGCCAACTCGATGCATTTTAACACATCACATGGTAACTTATGCGCAAATCCTTCAATACACTTTAATTTCACAACTAAAATCACCCCCAACAGTGTTTCCTATTTCTTTAAGCACTATCGTCATTTACACTCCACTAGCAAAAAGAAGATATTTATTCATCTATATATTTTTTCTTTTTTTCTTTTTTTTAAACTATATTTTTTCTCTTTTGCACTTTCTACTAGTGGCATATTCTTTTACAAAACAAATGCACTTTTATTCCTTTCATTGGTTTCACTCAAGAGCTATCCCACACTTAGTCCCTTCTTACTTCTTTTAGCGATCATTTTACAATTAAAGTACTTTAAGAGGTAAAAGGGATCAAAACACTATCAATTAAGAACAAAAAGGGTATAGGCTGGTAACGTGGGTACCAAATAAAAGTCTATAGGCTCAAAAGGATTAACTAAGGATAAATTTTATTTGTGTTAAACAATTAAACTCAAAAATATCAATGAAAGCCTAAAATTATTTTTCAAATCGAGCATCACATAAAGTTTTGTTTCAACTCACAAACTAGACAAGTTCTAGACACAAGTACAATAACATGGACTACAAAAAAACTCACCACACATGCCACATGACTCACTAAGGATGGTCCCATTCCGATTCTCAAACTAATGCACTCACGAAGTCACGAGATATTAAGCATTAAGCACAAAGTGAACATAAGTCAAGAAAACGAGACATAGGCATCATAGAACATGCTATCCAACTAAGCAAGGCATCATCAATAATTTCAAATCATATGGAAGATACTACACATGCCAAAGCCTAAATATGCTACTATCAAACAAGTCAAAGGCACCTAGGTTCATCTCATCTTTCTTCCTCCATTTTATTCCCTAAATTCCTAATTTACTCTAAAAGAAAAAATTATTCGGTTCAAACTACATCCCATGAAAAAGAACCGATGCACAAAGAAAAACCATGGGAGATTATTGCTACCTATGGAAAACTAAAAGACATAATTTTTTTTTGTTTTTTCTATTTTGCAATTTTTTGTTTAGACTTTAATCTCTCAAGAAAATTTTCTAGGAGATCCATCATCGGGTAAAATTCAAAAAAAAAAATCAATTGTTTTATTTATTTTCCTGATTTTATTTTTATTTGTTAAATTAAACACTACTACTATACTACACCATTAATTATACTAACTATGCAATTACAAATAAACAGCTAGCTAATAATAGAAAGATAAGAAACTAAAAATTTACTATTATAACACTATACAGAGCGCAAAGAATCTTCCACCCCACACTTAAAAAAAATACAGTGTCCCCAATGCACAAATAAAGAAAAACAATAATGAGGGTAGACAAGAAACTCCCTGAAAGGCCAAAGGCCGAAGCAATAGAAGCTCATGGGGTACTCAGACTTCTCCCGCTGATGGTTCTTTGTGGGGGTACCTCATACTAGTTCCTATCAACTGGCTCGCTTTTTCACACTTTCAATGGCTTTGCTCCCTATGCTCAAAATCCTACGAAATAAAACACACTACAAAAATAATACAATAAGAAAAAAAATCAAAACTAAAAGAAAGCAGTAAAGCTGGGTTGTCTCCCAACAAGCGCCTAATTTAGCGTCGCGGCACGACGTGAACCACTTTTTCTCCATCTTGAACTGATGAATTGTACCCCTAACATGGCATCCAATCTGTGGCTTGCTCTAGTGGTGGGGCTACAAAGATAACTATTCCAAATAATAAATTTTTTACTCTACACTTCTCAGCCTTTAGATGAGGAATGTAAGTTTTGCTTTTTGATACAACAAATTCAAGAATATAAGCACTCTCATCCTCACTCTTTGACTTCCCCATAGGCCGAGATGGCTTGATTAGTATCTCACTATCTAAACACAATATGAAAAAATGATCGGAATGAGGTCTAATACGCCCTAACTCATGAATTGTACTACTATTTACATCCCCATTTATATACACACTCAATTCTCCAAAAGTAATGTTATCTACTCCCTCATATGACTCTAGAGCACTCTTCTCAATATTGGCATTATCAAGAAAGACATGGTCTAATAATTGGTATTCTCATTTTAGCTCTTCAATTTGGTCTAGAAGATTTTTTTTCTGGCTCTACACAACTCATCGTTAAATTGTTGGGCATTATACACATCAACCTTTGCACTCAAATCTACATCTAAGTTATGTACAACCAAGCTAAAATTATTAATTTTATGTGCAAGCTCATCTCTCTCCTTAGATCAATCATTTACCAACATTGTTAGAAGACAACGTCGTTTCGCATATTCGCCTAATCGAGAATATCCGCCCCAATACCAACCCTTACTCCCATATTCAAATTCAGACGTCTCAGAGTTCAAGAAATGGCAAGCCCAAAAAACGGGACATAAAAGTCTTCCGTCAAATAAGCGTCTTCATCAATAACATTATCTCCGAATATTTTATCCCCAGATATCATGTTGAAAGAACTAGAAACAGACTAAGAGAAAAATCAAATTCTAATAAAAATCAAAATATTTACAAAAAAAAAACTTGTAAAGATAAAAGTAAAAGTCAAATTTAGAAAGCCCCGGCAAACGTGCCAAAAACTTGTTGCGGCCAAATGCACGCAAGTATACGCGATCGTCAAGTAATAAAGTGACTAAAAGTCGGATGTCGAAAACACGAGGACTTGTGATTAACTATTCACTAAATTAGACTATCCTAATTATCTAAATAAGAATTAAACCTAGTATTATATGATTCTAATCTAACTAAAACAAAAAAGAAAATAAATAATGAACTTTGAACAGAGGAAGAGCATATTCTTATGATATCAATGTAATGAAAACGATCTAGGGTCACATGGGCTATCTAACAATCATGTTGTATTCTTCAATTGAATTGACTGATTAATTTATCTAGCTTATTGGTTGACAGGGTTAATATTGCTCATAAGAATTTGTCGAGTTCTTACTCGCCTATTCAAGCTAACCTAACGCCTATATGTCTATGGAGTTAGAATCAACAAGAACGCATTTATAATTCCTGTAAATCAACCAAGCAAGGCAATTAGGTATATGTCTATCCTAACTACGAATCCGTTCCCCGATGCCCGAGTTCAAGAACTTGCNGCCTATATGTCTATGGAGTTAGAATCAACAAGAACGCATTTATAATTCCTGTAAATCAACCAAGCAAGGCAATTAGGTATATGTCTATCCTAACTGCGAATCCGTTCCTCAATGCCCAGGTTCAAGAACTGCTCTACTCAATCCTATGTGCAATCTAGAATTCCCTCTTTCGAGTTCAATTCTTGATTCGTAGATAATATTTAATTGGTGATCAAGCAGTCAAACAATTAAGCGTAAGATTGAATAAATAAACTAACATGATAAATCAAGAAGGCAAAATCAATATCCGAATAACAATAATCATGAAAGAACCACAACCCTAGAACGTGAAGTTTAGGCTCCACATAGACATGGTAGCCAAACAACAAATCATACAAAAAAAACATAAAAATTATAAAGTTTGGTTGAAGAAAAGATGAAACCCGGCCTCCACGGCAGCTCCTTGCTCTCCCTAGGTCGAATTCCTTCAAAATGTGTGTTAGATGATCTAAAAGGGGCGTTTTTGGCCTATATATTGCGTACAAAAGTCGTGGGCCAAAGTTTTCCTTTTCCTAATCCGACTCAGCTTCATTTTCCTTCTGCTATGCCCAGGTGCGGATGATAAGGCGGATGCTGTTGCCCGACTTCACTGCTAAGGGTGCACCAAACATCCTAAATCTCCTCTAGCTGGAGCATCTTTTCTTCATATTTTTGCACTCCAAACATCCTAAATCATCACACATATAAAACTAATAATTAACATATATTGGGCATTTTAAAGATTAAATAGCATCAATAAGTGGTTAAAACATGAGTGGTAACATCAAAATATATAAGAATATGCCCAACATTAGTACTCTACCTACAGTGGAATATTAGCTAAAAAATCGTGACTATTCAAGTAGCTGATATCTAATCTCAGAGCACCTTAAATCACGGTAAAATTGTATGCATTTTTTATTTGACACTTTTTAATAAAAAATTTGGCTCCGTTACTACCGAGGCCCAACTAGTTTGAGATTAAAATGTAATTGTCATTGTTGTATAAATGAAGTTTAATTAAGTAGCGCAGGTTATATCAAGTAAATTTACCACCTTTTCTACGTTAACAATCCACGCTTACCCATGAACAGTTGTGTATAGTAGTTGGCTTATAAATAAATTTGAAAGCTAGCTAACAATTATTTGTACTATTAGGATATAAAAGTTAAAACACAGGGAAAGTCAAAGAGCTAGTATCCCCAGAAAAGTGCAGGTCGGTATTCCAAAAGATCACATGTTGTACTAACTTACACTGTCCATGAGATATCTACTCGTACTAGGAAACCATATTGCAACTTTAATGAGTTCATTTCTCAGAGAAATGAGTTTATTTCTTTTAATTTTCTTCTCCATTGGAGCTCTGGAACTAGAAATTAAACAATGTCTGGCGTATGGATATTCGACAAGAAAGGCGTTGCCCGTTTGATCACAAACCCTACTCGCGAGTCCTTCGAGCTAATGCAACCAACATATCCAGGTACTCATTGTGTGTGTGTGTATATGAAAAAACACTGAAAAAGTAATTGTATAGAATCTATTTTTTATTTTAAAACGAATAGTGATCTTATAAACCTAGAATTTCTTCTTTGTAACTTTGATATAAAGTTTAACTTATTAGATTCAGTAATGCTAGCTCTCCTTCTATCTCGAATTAAGTTGAGACGGGAGAAAAAGATTTTACATGTATTTCATGGTATAGATACGTACGTCTTGATCTTTATTGTATGTTTTATGCTTCATTATTTCAGTTGCGATTAAGCGCTTACTTGGTGGGGGTTAGATTGTTTGCATCCTCTAGCTAATTTTACGTCGTGTCGAACTTGATAGTCCATTCGTTCCATTTACTTGATACTCCATTCGTTCCATTTATTTGACGGTGTTTGATTGGGCGCAAAGTTTAAAAAAGGAAATTTTTGAAACTTGTTGTCTGAAATTAATCATAGATATTTGTGTGGCTGACGGCTACTACCAAGAGTATTACACCCTTGATCGTGAAATATTGATTGCTTTTTGAAACTTATGAATTGAGTGAAAGTAAGATACTCCCAATTCGGGGGTCAAGAATTTTAGAAAATATTCTTGGTGGAAAAAATATTAATGAAGGATCCCACTGAATTGAATTGGGTCCATGAATCTAAGAAATGGTGAGAATTCTTGATCTCTCTCAATTCGAAAATTCGGGATTTGAATTGATGTCCTCTCATCGATTCCTCCAAAATTGCATTGATTTATCCTATGGACTTTAAATCATCTCATTAAGGTTAAATGCGAACTTTAGAGTTAAACTATTTCTGGATATGTAAGAATATGTTATTTTTTTTGGGATAAACTAAAAAATAAAATATACCACATAAAATAAGACGGAAAGTATTAGAGCACAATTTATTGGTTTCAACAAGGAATATTAGACAAAACAGGCTTATTGGAATTTCTACAGCATGCAAATCAAACCAAAACAGCTTAATTCCTCATGTCACACCTCACCTTCCTATTTTCTTCTCCGGGATATGTCCCTTTACTTTAAATTCTGTATTCGTTTCTGTAGGCAGTGGTACAGCTACTGCACCCGGAGCGCGCCCGAAGGTGCTAGTGTATCTACCAGAGAACCAAGTGATAAGTTCCTATGTTGACCTAGAGAAGATACTCATTGAGCTTGGATGGAGTCACTACAACAATCCAATAAGGTCAGATTTCATGCAGTTCCACAAGTCGGATGACTCTGCACATCTCATCTCACTTCCTAAGGATTTTAGAAACTTCAAATCTCTACATATGTATGACATCGTTGTCAAGAATCCATCTTTCTTTGAAGTCCGGGAGCCATTTGGCTAGCCTTTATCAGGGGCAGATTTAGAGCAGAGGCGGATCCAGGATTTGAGCCTTATGGGTTCCTACCGTAATTTCAGATCAATATGCAATAATAACTGGGTTCGCAATTAGATATTTACAAATATTTAGTAAATTTCTTAATATAAATACAGGGCTATACACAAAAGTTACTGGGTTCCCGGAAACCCGTATTCTATGCTCTAGGTCCGCCCCTGATTTAAAGTGTCATTTACGGATTCATATAAACTTTTGCTCATATTGTATATGTATTACGAAATTTTAAAAAAATTTATAAATATTTGACAATGAATCTAATTATTATTATATATTTACTTAAGGTCTTTATAGGAAATTCATAAACTTTAAATTTTAAATCGGCTTTCTGCATTTATCGGCACCAATCATAATTAAGTAGCAACTTTGGATATATGTTGTAGATGGTAGCCAGACCACCACCATTTACATGTGTAACATGCTTTGGCCTAAGAAGTTGGAAGCTAAGCTATTTATTTCTTTTACTTTTACTCTTTTGATGATGTTCCTTTTTCTCTGGTCGGCGGGGTGATTTGAGTCAGAAATTCTAACAAAGAGATTCAACTAAATACGAGAATGTCAGTTATTGAGATCATCAAAAGAAATTTTTGAACCATCTTTTCCTTGCATTTAAAAGTTTCCTTACATTAAAGGAATTCAACAATTTATGACATGTATACAAAAAAATTATTTTTAATCTATTTGCATATAATTTTTTGAAAGAGATTTAGTTGAAACCTCTTCATTGTACACAGCTCTGCCCTGATGATAATCTTATTATATATATATATATTTCATAGTTCGAGCGCAAATAATAGATTCAGAGACCCGCCCTAGATCGGCCTTTGATGGCCTTGGAAGCAAAGATTTGAGGGAAAATGTTTTGGAAAATTCAGGAAAAAATATATGGCAACACTGTTTCATTTATAACTTGAAGTTTAGATAAAAATCATTAGTTTAGGAGCCTTACCGGAGGGAGGAGGATCCTAAGTAGTAAATAATATGTGGTATACAAGTATCAGCCTTACCTGCAAGGGGTAAGTGATTTAAAGGTCTATCTATGTTTTCTTTTGTTAATAATATGGCTATTGGGCAACATGCAGTGGTTTAATTTCCAAAAAAATCACTGACAGACTCATAAGATGGGTAATGAACATAGAAGTAAAATGCAGTCTTTGCCAAGCACAAGACGAATCAAGAAATCACCTGCTAGCAGGATGTGAATATTCCAAGAGACTCTGGGAAAAGACTATGCAGTGGCTTCAACAACAATGCTACAAGCATACACAGTGGAGCCACCATCTGGAATGGGCTATCAAAAGTGCAAAAAGGAGATCACTGCAAGCTCAAATATTCAGGATGGCGTATGCAGAATGCCTTTATGCCATATGGATGGAGAGAAACCATAGAATTTTTTAGAAGAAGAGTATAAATTGGGAAGCAGTTGCTAGAAAGATAGCAGTGATGTGCCATGTTAGAGCTGTTGGGTGTGCGAACAAAGTCCCACATTAGTAGCTGAAAAGATTGGGAGTCTACATATAAAGTGTAGGGATCTCTTAATTGTAATGATCCGGCCGGTCGTTTCATGAGTTACCTCTTCGTTTCCCCCATTTCTTCTTCTTATTGTCTTGTTCAGCTATATTATGGTTATCGGGTTGGTTGGCTCGGGTTCAGAGAGGTTTTGGTAAGATTTGAGACACTTAGTCTATTTTGAGTAAGCTTAAGCTAGAAAAGTCAATCGGATGTTGACTTATGTGAAAAGGGCTCGGATGTGAATTCTGATGGTTCGAATAGCTTCGGGAAGTGATTTGGAACTTAGAAGCGTGATCAGAATGTGTTTTGGAGGTACGGAGTAGAGTTAGGCTTGAATTGGCGAAATTGGAATTTTGGCATTTTCCGGTTAGTAGGTGTGATTTTGATATAGGGGTCGGATGGAATTTCGGGAGTTGCAGTAGGTCCGTTGTGTCATTTGGGATGTGTGTGCAAAATTTCAGGTCATTCGAACGTGGTTTGATAGACTTTTTTATCGAAAGCGAAATTTGGAAGTTTTTGGAATTCTTAGGCTTGAATCCGATGCATATTTTGTGTTTTAATGTTGTTTTGAGTGCTCCGAAGGTTGGAAAAAGTTTGAATGATGTTATAGGATAAGTTGGCATGTTTAGTTGAGGTCCCCGAGGGCCTCGGGTGAGTTTCGGGTGGTTGAACGGATCGTTTCAAGTTGAAAAAGATTGCAGAAAATCTGTTGTGAGTGTTGCAGACTTTTGGCCTTCGCGTTCGTGAGTGGGCCCTCGCGTTCGCGATGGGTTAGTATGAGAGGCAGGAGGTTTGGCCTTCGCATTCGCGATGGAGGTACCGCGTTCGCGAAGGGTTGAGGTCAATGAGCTTCGCGTTCTTAGGTGTGGGGTCGCATTCGCGATGAGTAGGAAGGCTGAGGCTTCGCGTTCGCGTAGGGGATATCGCGTTTGCGATGAAGGAAAAGTGGTCAACGACAAGTTGTGCTTCACGAACGTGAGGCGTTGACCGCGTTCGCGAAGAAAAGGTTTTAAGTGCTGGGCACAATGTTTTAAAAGACCAATTCCGCGATTTTTAGCCTAAGTTTTACCATTTTGGGCGATTTTAGAGCTTTTTGAAGCTATATTTATGCCAAAATATGGCTAAGGTAATTTTTATATATTTTTATAATTACATTTAGCATTTTTAAAGCTAAATTGCATATAATTGCAATATTAGCCCTTTTAAGATTTAATTATGTTCTATATGCATAAAATTGGACCCCGTATTTTTAAATTTTTAATTATGCATTTTAAATCATTTTTGCACCTTAATATTTTTCCAGAAATTATTGATTATTTTTTTATAAATTAAATGGGGAATATTGGCTATTTAAATAATAGCTAAATTTGGCTTTCAATTATAGCCAAAATCGGACCCCTTTCCAGCCCAATTTCATACCCGAATCACCCGACCCATACCCTATTAACCCTTACCCAAACCCGAACCTACCTACCCTTTTTAATCTCGACCGTTGATCTCCCAGATCAACGGTCCAAACGCACCCTTTCCTTTTCAATTTCACCCGACCCCTAACCCTAGTCTCATAATTCAGAGACAGCCGCCCTTAAATTCTCTCATATTCTAATTCTCTCTCAACTCACCCTAACCCTAATCGACATCACAGGCGAGAACCTCCTCCCTATGCTGTTTTCATGCTTTCTCCAACCACATCTGGTCTCCTATACTCCATGGCTCTTCGACTTCATGAGTCCTTGAGAAGATCTCAAGGAAAGCCAACCTGCTCCAGTTTGAAACTCGTTTACTGGCCTGTCTCCAGCCATTTTTGTTTGTAAGAAAGGATTTCCGCTTGTTTTTCGTTTGAATCCATGAGTTTTTAACCGATTCTCTTTATCTCTACTATCTTTTGAAAACCCTAGTTTGCTACTGTCCAATTCTTCTCAGATCTTTATAGATCTGAGGTGATTCGAGTATTATTAAGAGTTTTCCTTTAAAAATCCCTTGTTTTAACTAACTATTTCGATTTTAGTCATTCTTTCTAAAGCTAGGGTTTCTCGGAGTTCTTTTACGCATGTTCTAACTGATTTCTTTATGATTAAACCTTTTCCTTGTTTGTTTTGACCGATTTTGTGCTCTTACTACTTTTAACTTGACTCTGTTAAAAACCCTATTTTTTTTAAAAGATTTTCTTTACTTTGTTTCTATGAATGTTAGCATGATTTTCCTTACTTTGCTCCTCTGAGTGTTAGCATGCTTTCTTTACTTCGTTTCTGTGTGCTAACCTGCTTACTTGAGTCCTGTGATTACCCTGCTTCGAATATGTTTTCCTAAATCCCTAGCCTACTTATGTCACTTCTGTGTGACTATGCTCACTTTGTTTGTTCATCTCTTGCTTCTTTCTATGACTATGCTTCGAATATGTTTTCTTGCTATGTTTGTGGACCTCCTCTATTTATATGTTGAAAGTGCAGAATCATGACTCCTTTTTGATTGATTCTGATGGTTATTGAAAAATATTCTTTCAAAACCCTAAAAGCTCTGCCCCGTCTACTAAGCTGACTGATTTACTATGATACTTATTTCTACTAAATTGTGCCCTTAATCAAGGCTTTATGAATTTGGTCCTAATCGACTACTCTATGCTATTGAATCTCGACTCCTACCTTTCCACTTGATTTGATTAGTTGCATGTCTTAATTAATTTTTCCTTGCCTTGTCTGCATTGCTATTTAATTCTTACTGGTTGTTTTCTTAGTTTAAAAACTTTCTGAACCTAGCCTTAATTACATGTTCTATACTGGTACTATTTTGAAATCTTTCTTTATTTGTTATACTTCAGCCGTGTATGATTTCTTTCCTTACTTGCCACCCGCTCTTTACCATTTACACTGACTCCCTTAATTAAAGGGAGATTCGAACCAATTTTTTATACTGAGTTCTATAATTACTTAAGAATTGATTCTTGCCTTATTATAACCAGTTTTCAAACTGTTATATAAATGACTCTCTTCTACAGTCTTAACACACGAACACAGTTCAGAATACACACATACGTTCAAACTCTCTCTCTTCTTTCTTTGCTACTTGTGCTAACTATTGGCCTAGCCGGCTGAAAGTCAAGGCTAGATATTGGAGTTGCACCTATATTTACATTCTGCATTCTTCCTCTTTAACTGGTATGTCTCTATTTTAAATTCGAAACTCAACTTTATGTGTTCCATTCTTATACATCCATGCTTGTTCCTGTACTAGTTATTCAATTTGTTTCTATGTTTGCTGTTATTAAGCATGTCTAAATTCTGCCTTATGTGTAATCATCATATCTGACTTTACTTAATTCTTTGATACTTGTCCAGCATGTTCACTTAGTTCCCTTACCCCTCCCTTAACTGGTATAACTATGTAGTCACTTAGTCTTCTAGTACATTCTATTGGCCCTAATGGTATGTCAAATTTTGTTCAACAAAACTCTTGTCTTCAACATAATCCTGCTGCATTCTTCCCTATGTTTTAAATGTCTGTTACCACGACTGAATTGTTCAATAGACTCATAGATGTTCTGTATATTTGTTGTATCAAATATTTTCCTATTTATGTGGTTTCAAACCTATATGTTCCCAATCCTTTCGCCCCTATTTGTAAGTCTACTTGTCAAGTAACTCTAGGTATTCTATGGTTAATTGGGTTGTTTGCTGAGTATGCTTTTCTCAAAGAATGACTTCAAAACTGTTGCTCCTACTCCTAGCATTCTTCTCAAA